ATTATCTAATCATATTTTCTTACATGGTCAGTGTATAGGCTGCACTGGGTTTTTGAGACCTAAGGCTTGGGATTTTTTTTTTTTTTAGTCTGATCCTTGGGATTGGTTGTGTGTGTGCTTTGCTTATCTGTTAAAAATTTATTAAGTTTGAGCTGGGCAGTGGTGGCACACACCTTTAATCCCAGCATTTGGGAGGCAGAGGCAGGCAGATCTCTGTGAGTTCAAGGCCAGCCTGGTCTACAAGAGCAAGTTCCAGGACAGGCTCTAAAGCTACAGAGAAACCCTGTCTTGAAAAACAAGAATTAAAAGCATGTATGTGCCACCACTACCCAGCTGCCACCTCAGTGTTTTAAAACGAGGTCTCTCACTGGCCTGGAACTTGCTAAACAGTCTGGACTGACTATCCAGTAACCCCTTAGGTCTGCCTCCCAGAGCTGGGATTAGAAGCATTAAGCCACCAAACTTGACCTTTTTACATGGGTTCTTAAGATCTACTCCTCCTCCTTGTAACCCAGGCACTTCAACTGACCAAGCTGTCTTCCCACTACTGAATATTTCCTTCCCTCTACAAGTGCGGTCAATCCCTTCTCTCCACCTTAGCCCCAAGCAACTATTGATCTCTTCTCTATCCGTGTATTCGTTGTTTCTAGAATGTTACATAAGTTAAAATGTACAGTGTGTGGGTGGAAATCCATATAGGCAATTTGTGGCTTATTGTGCTAACAGTGAGCTAAAGGCTTTCGTTAGTTGTCTCTTTATTAGTGGTTCACACAAATGGGAATTCAGTTCTTTCTTCAAAATGTGTACTCACAAGGAATGTCATTGCACATTGTTCAAGTGTGGTACACATAGACACCTCCTATGATGAACCAACCTCTTTTAGCTCAGCGTATTCACATTTTCTTGTATACCCAAGAACCTGTTTGCTTTGCTTCCCAGGTAGGATACAAACTCCCTGGCAGTTGAACATTTTTATGATTCCTGTACCATGCTTTGTACGAGGCTTGGCACGAGATTTGGTCCAAATATCTTTGTTGACTAAATCTGAAGATGGCTCAGGTGTGGAGGAGGAGAGGGGAACTGCTAGAGGGTGGTGATTGGAGTTTGGGTGGGGAAGGAGGTGGACAATGGCCAGGAGGGTGTAATTCTGCTCTCTTTCCTACAGTCCAGTGTTTCCCGGGCTCTTCGAGTTCTGCTCCCGTTACACAGGCGCATCTCTGCAAGGAGCAACACAGCTGAACAACAAGGTGATGTAGTGACGTAGCGCTAGTCTGTAGTCCTGGTCCCCTTTCCCGTGGGTCTCCAGATTCAGGACCGTTTATAGGCTTGACTGGAACCCGGCTTCTGTGGTGGGCAGGAAGGAGACTGAGTGGGTATTTGTCTTTCAGATCTGTGATATTGCCATCAACTGGGCTGGTGGTCTACACCATGCCAAGAAGTTTGAGGTAAGGCTGAAGTGGGAAGACTGGCTGCCATTAAGTTAGGTGGTCAGAATGACAATGTTGGGGTAGCTGGGTGGAAGAATTGTTCCTCTGCTTATAAATCCATCTCCCACAGGCCTCTGGCTTCTGCTATGTCAATGACATTGTAATTGGCATCCTGGAGCTGCTCAAGTAAGTGCTCCAGGAGGAGAGGGGAGACTCCCTAGGCCTTGGCCCCACCCTGACCGCCTTCCCCACTGGCTTCTGGCTTCTCAAGTCTGTGATGCTTTTCTCAGGTGGCTTCTTCAGCGCCTGCTCACTTATCAGTCCACTTTGCGCGTCCCTTTCCTTCCTTGTCCCTAGCCTGAGGATGAAGGCCTGGGCTTTCAGGAGGAAACTTGGTGGGATGGGGTTTCAAGTGACTTGGCCAGAAACAGACTCTAAATATTTCCCAAGCTTGTGTTGGGGAGGAGAAGATGGGGGATTCACCTCTTTCCCCAGAGCATGACTTTATCATCACACCAGGTACCACCCTCGGGTGCTCTACATTGATATCGATATCCACCATGGTGATGGGGTTCAGGAAGCCTTCTACCTCACTGACCGGGTCATGACTGTGTCATTCCACAAATATGGAAATTACTTCTTTCCTGGAACAGGTAAGATGACTGCGTCTTGTGTATCCCTTAGCTCTTTGTGTTTTTTGTTTTGAGACAGGGTCTTGCTCCATAGTCCAGGCTAGCCTTAAATTCCAAATCCTCTTTAATCAGCATCCTGAATGATGGGATTATTTTGTCCTCTCCTCAGAGAAGCGTTTCTGATCACTCCATTAAATTAAATAAACAGGTACCTCGCCCTGTCTCTTTTTCTCACTGCTAGTTACATTTATTATAGTTTTTTGTTCATTCTCTTAGTCACTATTCTATTGCTGTGAAACCACAGCCAAGACAACTCTTATGAAAGAAAGCATTTACATGGGGGCTTGCTTACAGTTTCAGAGGTTTAGTCCGTTATTATCATGGTGGGGAGCATGGCAGCATGCAGGCAGGCTCTGCGCAGGAGTTGAGAGCTACATCCTGATTCACAGGCAGGGACACTCTGGGCTCGGCTTGGATTTTTGGAACCTCAAAGCCCACCCCTGGTGACACTTTCTTAAACAGGCCACACTTCCTAATCCTTCTCCAGCAGTGCCACTCCCTGATGACTAAGCATTCAAATATGCCTAAGGGGGAGTCATTCTCATTCAAACCACACATCCTCCTACCTTATCACATACCCCAAAAGTATGAACTTGGTGGAATTTCATTAGGTCTGTTCATTACTGTACTCTTATGTCTCGCATACATCCTAGCACACAGTAGTTCCTCAGAAATATTTATTGAAATGAGTGTGATGGCATATGCCTGTTTTCTCAGTAGGCAGGCTTGGGAGGCTAAGGTGGGAGGGTTGCCTTAAGTTTGAGACCAGTCTGGGATATATAGCTAGACTATGTCTCAGAGAGAGAGAGAGAGAGAGAGAGAGAGAGAGGGGAGGGAATTAATCAGGGACTGGAGAGATGACTCAGCTGTTAAGAGCATTTACTGCCCTTGCAGAGAACCCAGGTTCTGTTCTCAGCACCCACATGGCAGCTCACAACTGTAACTCCCAGTTCCAGGAGATCTGATGCCCTCTTCTGACCTCCGTGGACACCAGGCATGAATCAGGCAGGAAGACACATACCTGTAATCTTAGCAATCAGCAAACTGAGATAAGGGGAGTGAGAGTTTGGAGGTAGCCTGAGCAACCCAGGAGGTTCCTGGCCAGCCTGAGTATATAACTGTGACCCTGTATTGAAGGAATGCAAGGTGCTGGAGCCTTGGAGAGCATGTGGTAGAGGTCAGGAAGGAACAGCTGTGTCATGAAAACTACCTTGCCTGACTACTGTACCCACTTTTCTATAGGTGACATGTATGAAGTTGGAGCAGAGAGTGGCCGCTACTATTGTCTCAATGTGCCCTTACGGGATGGCATTGATGACCAGAGTAAGTACTGGTGGCTTCTCCATGTTCACTTTCCCCCTGTGTTTTCTCTTTCAATTAACCTCTTCTACCTAGTATTGTCTATTGTTGGGCCAGGTGTCCTTAAGGATGAATGGCCTTCAGAGGGACCACGAACCCCTGGAATTTGTATGCAATATAGTATGTGTTTGTGCATTTTTATTTATTTGTTAATTTTTCTGGGAAGAAGGTTGTTAGTGTTCATCAGTCACTCAGCAGTTTGTGATACCCTCCAGAAGTTCAGAACCAATGTTTGGTTCTGTGAGTTGCCCCTTTCCTGGGCTACATGCTCTCTCAACCCCCTTTTTCCTTTTGTTCCCTGTCTCCCCATCCCCTTGGGGTGCCAGGTTGCCCACCTTTGGCCCTCTCCCAGGTTACAAGCACCTTTTCCAGCCAGTCATCAGCCAGGTGGTGGACTTCTACCAACCCACATGCATCGTGCTTCAGGTAATGCTGTTAGCACCTCCCTAAGAGGCCTTGCCTGGGCTTGAGGAAAGAGTTCTGGGAAGAATAAGTCCTCCAAACTGGTGAGGGAAGGACAGTAGAGGACATTGGTGTTCTGATTGTTCATGTTACTGTAGCCGTCTGGGTTTCTTCTTTGTGCAGTGTGGAGCTGACTCCCTGGGTTGTGACCGATTAGGCTGTTTCAATCTCAGCATACGAGGCCATGGGTGAGAACTGCCTTCCTTCTTGTTCTTGTTGTTGGTCTTTAAAGTTGCATTTCATCATCATCATCATCATTATTATTTGTGTTTGTGTGCGTCCTTGACCAGGCTTTGAACTTGTGATCCTCCTGTCTTAGCCTCCCAAATTCTAGGATTATCAACTCAGGCACCACACCTAGCTTGAGAATTTACTATAGACAGCATGCTTTGGGAAGGTTTTTCTAAAAAGGTGAAATGGGAGTGGAGACCTAGAGACTAAGAAGGAATGAGCCCTGAACGGAGAACAGAGAATCGTGCCCTATGCAGTGAAAAGGGCCAGTAGAAAGCCCAGAGACCAAAAAAGCTGCAGTCTTGATGAGGAAGAAATAAAGCCAGTGAGGCCAGAACACAGTGAGGTGCTGAAAGCTGGCCAGGTTGAGAGTGCACAGCTACTAGACCATGGATAATACAAAACTGTGGAAGGGTTTTAAACAGGGAAGTGACATGGGCCAGTGAATTTAAAAGTGATTGATTATTCTGACTGCTAAATGAAGAAAGGTTTGGGGTGGGAGTCAGAGCACAGGATGGGCAGTGGAAAGCCAGTTAGAAGCCATAAACATTGTTTGGGCAGGGGATGTGGCGGAGAGAAGTTGAGGATTTGAAGATGTATGCTGAAGGTTAGAACAGTCTAGGTGGGACACTGACGAGAGTAGTTGAATAGCAGGTAAGGTGCCAGGGAGAATATTAAGCAAGACAGAGTGAGGGTGTGCTTTATTTTAAAGTATTTATTGAGATACAAAATATTAAATATACTGTTTTTAAAGAATTTTTTACTTATTCATTCTTTCATGTGTGTGTGTGTGTTCATGTGTGAGCGCCAGAAGTAGGTATTGGATCTCCTGGAGCTAGAGTTACAGGTGCTTGTGAGCTGCTCAGTGTATGTGCTGGAAACTGAAACTCTGGTCTTCAGGAAGAGCAGTAAACACACTTTACTGCTGTGTCAACTCTCCAGTCCCTAGTGCACACTAATCTTGAATAAAATCTAATCTTGAGGCAGGAAGGCATGGGGTGGGGATCGGGTGAATAGCACACTCAGTAAAAGTGCTTGTTACACAAACATGAAGACTTGAATTTGATCCCCCAGAACCCATGTAAGAATGTCAGGCCCAATAGCATGCATTTATGATTCATAATCTCAGTCCTGGTAAGGTAGAGACAAGAAGATTCCTAGGGCTTGGTGACCAGTCATCTTAGCCTAATTGGGAAGTTTCAGGCCCAAAAATAAAAAATAAAAAGAGGTGGATGGTACCTTTAGAACAACACTTGATATCTTCTGGCCGCTCTGTACATATGCACATACATGTAGACATCCCCAACACACACATGCAGGCATCAACACACATGAAGATTCACACACATCTACACAAGCAGTCACACACAAAAAATGCCACTGTGAGTTATGCTGCCCAGAACAACATAGAGAACATTTAGTTGCCAGTTTCTTTGTCTAGCATTCAAGTGATACCTGGGGTCACATTCTTGGATTCACCCACTCCTCTTATTGCTTCTAACAGGGAATGTGTTGAATATGTCAAGAGCTTCAATATCCCTCTCCTGGTGCTGGGTGGTGGTGGCTACACTGTCCGAAATGTTGCCCGGTGCTGGTGAGTCCTCCGTTCTCTTTCTCCTTTGTGATTCACTATGGACTCTTAAGAAATTGGAGGGATGGTCCTTGCAGCCCACATGGTTAGCCCAACCCCCTCTGCTTGCTGGTTTCAGGACATATGAAACATCTCTGCTAGTAGAAGAGGCCATTAGTGAGGAACTTCCCTATAGTGGTAAGGTCTACCTCATGGTGCCCCTTCCCCATTCTCACCAATCCCCAGAATGACCTTGTTTGAAGGCAGATGGGAAATATGTTCTGGGAGCTCTGCAGACTAAACCCCTGGACTTAGAGCAGAGCAAATAACTCGGGACTAGGATGGGAAAAGATGGGAATGTCGCGGGACTCACCTTTTTGTATTCAGCCGTACTGCTTCATCCCCTCTTCCAATCCCTTCCCATCTCTAAGAATACTTCGAGTACTTTGCCCCGGACTTCACGCTCCATCCAGACGTCAGCACCCGCATCGAGAATCAGAACTCACGCCAGGTTAGCAGCTGGGAGAAGCTGGAGAAGTGATGAGAAGAGGACTCGAGAGGTCGGGGAGGTGGGAATTAGGAGAAAGCAAGAGAAGGAGGTCCTGGCTGTCACTGTCACGCTTACCATTGTGGGGAAGCCCAGGATAAAGTAGGGACAGTTATCAACTGGGATCTGAACTTGAAATACTTCTTTAAACCAGTTCAGAGCAGAAGGCAGAGAGGAGGGTGTGTATTCCGGGAATTCAGGAGCTGCTGACTTTTCCTTCCTTTCAACTAGTATCTGGACCAGATCCGCCAGACAATCTTTGAAAACTTGAAGATGCTGAACCATGCACCTAGTGTCCAGATTCATGATGTCCCTGCAGACCTCCTGACGTACGACAGGACTGATGAGGCTGATGCAGAAGAGAGAGGTCCTGAGGAGAACTACAGCAGGTCTGGGCCAGGGGCTTGAGGACAGGTGGTTCCTTGGGTCTGCAGAGGGGGCTTCTGAGTGGGAAAGAATGGGAAGACACTAGTTCATCTGGCCCAGGCTTATTGTCTCCTTTAGGCTGCAAGTTTTCTACCTTTTTTGACACTTTCAATAACAAAACAACATATTTATTGAAACTATTATAAACAGCATCGAAATGTTTTTACACAGTCCCAGAATCATTCCATGAAAGTAACCATTATTAATGGTTTGACTTATGTCTTATTTGATAGATCATTTTCTGTAGATTATAGGATAAATAATTCTACCTGTACATGCATCTATTCAGACTTTTATTTATGTAGTTATTTTCTTTTTCCTTTATGCTTTATTGTTGTTTATCGAAACAGGGCTTCTCTGTGTAGATCAGGCTGGCCTTGAAATCAGAGATTTTCTGCATGGGCCACCATGCCTAGTTCTTTCTTGGTGTTTTTGAGATTGGGTTTGACTGTCATAGCACAAGCTGGCCTTGAGTTCATAATAATTTTCTGCCTTAGCTTCCTAAATGCTGGGTTAAAGGCAGGCACCACCCAACCCAGTTTATGCATTTTTTGTGAATACAAATAAGGATATTCACAATATATTGTTCTGACTTACACTTGCCTGTTTTCTTTTCTTTTAAAAAGATTTTTTCCAGGGCTGGAGAAATAACTTGGTGGTTAAGAGCATTGGCTGCTCTTCCAAAGGACCCAGTTTCAATTCCCAGCACTCACATGGCAATTCTCAACTGTCTGTAATTCCAGTTCCAGGGGATCTGACACCCATGGCAAAACACCAATGCACATAAAATTTAAAAAAAAAAATTTTTTTCCCATGTCAGTATATATAGATCACTGTTTTCTCCATTGTATCAACATTGTGTGGGGATAGCATAATGTAATCAATTACCACTCATGGGTATTTACATTATTCCCTACCCTACTTCACCCCCTTTTTTTGGTGGCTATTAAAGTAGTAAAGAATGTGGCACTGAATCTCTTTAGATAATACATCTAATAATACATGCTTGTTTGAGTGGGTCTGATTTTCAGAATTGTTGATGTTAGGGCAAAGGCCATATGTAGTAAAACCTTTTATATTTGCTGCCAAATTGAAGACTTACAAAAAGTCTTCAGTGATTTAGTTACATTTTTTTTTTTAATCTTTTATTTATTTTTAGACTCATTTATTTTACTTTATGTGTATGGTGTTTCACTTGTATGTATTTATATGCACCATTGTGTACCTGGTGCCTGCTAAAGTCAGAAGAGGGTGTCAGATCCCTTGGAACGGGAGTTAAGGGTAGTCGCGAGCTGCCATGGGGTTCTGGGAAAAGAACTGAGGTCATTTGCAATGGCAGCGAGTGCCATCTCGTCAGCTCCCTGTTTACAGTCTCGCCAGCACTTTTCTCGGTCCTTCTGAGCACTGAACCAGACGGGTCACTACCCACATCATTCTGTTTTATAGGGTTCTTAGATTTATTTGTTCAGCTGTCTTCTTTGGGTTTGAGAATTGTATTGAGTGAGGTGTGTGTAAATATGTAAATAATCTTTATCTTTCTTAGATCTATGTTGAAATATTTGTAGCTAGAATGAAATAGGCAGGGAAAGATTAATATTCATTATTTTTTTTTTTCTGTTTGTTAATCCTTGAAGAAATTTTTGGAAAATGAAGAACAAGGACAGCAGAACCCAGAAGGGCCTAGAGAGAGAGAGAGAGAGACAGACAGACAAACAGACAGACAGACAGACAGACAGAGATTTGGTGGGAAACAGATCTCCTTACAGAACTGATATTTTGCTCTGCTACAGATGTGGATGACTTCGCAGTTCCTTCTAGAACCTACTTTTGGGTCATAGAATTCTGGCCTCCATCTTTCTCCTCTGGACTTGGTCTTGACTGCTTTGGCCCTTGGACTTCCCTAGTTGCCCTCCCCCATGGGTAGCCCCTTCTTCCCTGCCGTGGGTGAGGAAGTATTGACCCTCTGGCTCAGACTCCTTCCGATCATCGTCTCCTTGCATCTCCCGGTCTCTCAAGCCTGACTTCCAGAAATTGATTTCCACTGTCTTAGCTGGTTTGTCCATAGCTGTTTCTGGGTTCTCCCTTCTGTCCAGGTTTGCCTTTTTCTTCTGTAGTCACATGCTCACATCTGGTTCTCGTCTCGGCACTGTTTAGCCTTCTGGACTGCCAGGAGTAACTTCTGTTTCTGAGCCTTGCCTCACTGTCAGGCTACCTGCTGCCATAGCTCCAACTAATACATGACTTGCAGAGTGGCCGCAGTGAGACATTTGCAGAGGTCTCAGCTCCACATTAAGTACTTCATGGTGTCATTCTGTTGCCATCAGACAATCCTAAGAGGTGGCTCTTAACCCTCAGATGACTAGAGGAAGAATCCAAGGCTCAGAGAGACTAAGTAACTAGGGTTCTGCAGCTAATATCAGGACTGAGACCCAATCCTAAATTTTAGGGTGATAGAGATGGGCTTACTGAGTAGACACGACCTTGTCTGCCTTAGTTCCTTAGCTTCTCTTCAGTGACCTTCTCAGTTCTCTCTTTCAAAGAATAGTGTTTCAAAAAGAAGGAAGCCTGTATTGAGTGCTTACTGGGTGCTGTGTTGCTATCACTCCCTTCTTACGGGAGTTTTAACATCGTGTTCATCTTTGCTCATACCTTTCCCTGTGTCCAGTCTTCCCCTCACAGCTTCCCTGTGTCAATCTTTGCTCATACCTTTTCCTGCGATAGTCTCCCCTCAAACCTTTCTGTCTTCAAACAGCTTGAAAACATCCTGTACACAGACCCTTACCTCATCTTCTGAAATGACTTTTGTCCACCCGCATAACCCCCAACAGCCCTGGTCTCATTGTCCTTCTGGAATGACTCAGTTTCCTTGGATATTGTGATTTCTGTACTTGTCTTTTTGTGGCTTACTGCAACCTTCCTGAGATCTTTGCCTGGCCAGCTTCTTCATGGAAGTCAGGTATTTCATGCTCAGAACAGTTTCTCCTTGCATCTGTAGGTGAAATGTCATCCTCTTATTCATCAGACTCAGTCATGTAGAACACGCCACATTTGAAATTATTGTATTCATTCGTTTGCTTTGTTATTGCTAGTCTCATGAGGTAAGCTTTGAGACACTGTACGAAAACCTTATCTGGCTGACTCTCTGCTGTTTTGCTAAAGTCTACAGCAGTACCCAGCACACAGAAGTCTCCATGTATTGGATACATGGATTACAGTAAGTCCCTGCCAGCAAAAGGAGAGGAACTGGCTTTGGAGAGGACTAATGGAGAACTGGCTCTGAGAAGAGTGCCTGGAGGAAGAGTGGGTTTCTAATCTCTTGTCCCTTGCTTTGCAGGCCAGAGGCACCCAATGAATTCTATGATGGTGACCATGACAATGACAAGGAGAGCGATGTGGAGATTTAGAGCAGCACGGATGCTGTGTCCCCAGGAATTCCTTTTCATCTCTTGGGTGGGAAGGAAAGTATGGCCCCCCCAGTCCTGAACTGGGTACCTCCAAGGCTTTTACTAACTCTGGTGAAGGGTTTGAAAACCACATGTGGTTCTAGAATCATTTACCCCTTTTCCTCAAACTGTCATAGCCTGATGATGGTCCCCACTGGGGATGAGACAGGAGCACAGATCTCTGGACACCCTGGATAATGAGCCCTAGAGGCTGTTCCCAGCCCTCTGGCCCTGTGTTTGTTCTCTCCCTGCTTCCAACTCAGAGGCTTTTAGAGATGAAATTTTGACAGTACTAAGGTCACCTCTGACTTCCTCCTGGGTTCCTCTGCTGCAGTTCTTGTTTCCATGGTAGGGGAGGAGGGCCTGGCTCTCTGAGACCTTACCTGTAGACGAAGTGCAGTGACAAGTAGGGGAGGCTGTGAAGATGCCCTGTTCTAACTGCCTTTATGTCCATTTTACCAGTTTTTAATCCAATAAACCAATTGGTATTTTTTTGTACCTTTCTGGGAATTTTACTTCTTGTTAGCTACCTATGTATGATGGGAAAGGGAACTAGAGATGATGATGTGTATAATAAAATTGTTAACATTCATTCAGCACTTTATGTTAGGCCCTGTGTGTGTATTCTCCATGGGTCATTTCACTCAAATGGGGAATTAATAGACCATTTCTGCTGAAGAGCTAGATTAACCTGGGCAGATCACTAGCCTGAGAAGGTATAAAAAATGGCTTTAGTTATGCGAGCAGGCGTGTTTGAGATGGGAGTGTTAGGTAGTAAAGAGGTCCTGAGATAGCACAGTAAGAGCTCAGCTGTGCTGCGTGTAGGAAGCTGCAGCTGACGGAGACACAGGGCTGGCTCCTGTATACATTACAAACACAGACCCGTTTCTGGAAGACTATAGTTGGGCATGGTAAATGTGGGTGTTGACAGTGGTACAAGAAAAGAGTGTTAGATGGGCCACTCTTGCTATCCTTTCACTCTGGCTTAGGAATAAGTAGCATTGGAATTCTCCTGGACAGCCTGCAGGGAGGGCTGGACACCTCTGTGCAACTTCTCCAGCAGTTGGAAGGCTGAAAACACACGGGAGATGAAGTCCGGATTTCAGAGACACAAAGTTAGAGACCCTGGTATTACATACATCTGAGCACTGGAGGCTCCTGTCCTCAGGAATACACACTTGAAATCCTTTTCTTTAGACTTCAGGGTTATTTAGTCCTCCCTACAGACCCCGTGTCAGGTAGATGTAGCCAGGAGAATGGATGGAGTTGCCGAGAGAGATCATGTGAAGACCACACCGAGAGAACTCATGCAGGCACATTTGGTTTAGCCTGTGGGCAATCTTGGTTAAATATGGTGTGGCTGTCAGATTGATCTGTTTGTCATTTTCTATCAATTATGAGTGACTTCAGCTCTCAGAGTCCCAATTTCTTAAATGGTGATACCAGTAGAGTCTGTCATGAAATTGTGAGAATTCAGTGAGGAAAGATATGTCATGCTTAACATATAGCCTGGCCTATAGCATGTGCCAGGAATATAGTAACTACTTAATTGCTGCCTAGGCTATTGACAATAATTAGTCTACATAAGAAACAACTAGAAAGCTAATGTAGGATTCAGGGCTGTGTAATGTAACTCTATACCTGGTCTAGATTGGTGCTTGCTTGAACTCAGTTCTTGGCACATAGTTTTCTATATTAAGTAAGTCATTTTTACATTATTTTTTAATGCACTTACTGCCCAGGCATCATATACATACAAACTGCATTATCCCACAAAACCTAGCATTTAATTTTCAGCCAAAATATCAGTGTTTCTACGATAAGATTCTTGGTTCAAACAATAAAATTCTGGCTGGGGTGTGAGGTGGTCTAGCTTTAAGCCACGTGGGCTCTGCGTGGGAGCCTAAAGGCCTCCTTTGTTCCAACCGCCAGGAGGCAGTATGGCCCGCTGCCGCCTGGAAGAGAGCACCGCCCCCTCTCCGTCCCCCCCCCCCCCCCACGTGGGTCCGAATGGTTAGGCCCGCTGGGCAGGTATCGCTTCCGCGACGTCCCTCCACCCCCCTCCCTTCCCCCATTGGTAGGGGCTGCGGGTCCGGGCGGAAGTGGGGCAGCGGGAGGGAGCGAGGCGTCACCGTTGTATATTCATGAGGCGCGCGCAGCCCAGCATGTAAATGAGGCGGGGCGCGGCGGCCGGCTAAGAAGGCTGCTGGGCGGCGGCGGCGGTTGCTGGCTCAGGGCAGCCCGGCGCGAGTGGTGTAGACCAGGGGTCACTGGCCAGCGCTAACCGGGACATGGAGCCGTCCGGCGGGGGCCTGGGGCCCGGCCGAGGAACCCGGGACAAGAAGAAGGGTCGGAGCCCTGATGAGCTGCCTGCGACGGGCGGCGACGGCGGCAAACCTAAGAAATTTGTGAGTGTCCCTCCCACCCTGCTCCTCAGCCTGGCGGGGTGGCCGCCCTCTGAACTCGGGCGACCCTCGCTGCCCTCCGGGGGCGTCTGCCTGCCGCTGGGGAGCCGCCCCCGCGCCTCTCTTCCTGGTTTCGTTGGGTCCTGGGCTTCGCAGTCCCACATTCTCCCCCTCCCGGACTTCGGGAAGCTCGGGAGTCCCACCTGGTCCTCGCTGCGGCCACCTTGGAGCTTCCCTCGCTCTTCAGTCCGCAGGCTCTGCGCTCCCGCCCCCGTGGCCCCGCGGGCTCTCAGCCCCACTTCCTTTCTTCTGCCTCTGGTACCCCCACACGTTTTTTTTTTTTTTTTTTTATTTTTTTTTTTTTTTTTTTTGCCCCCCCCCCCCCCCCAAGCTGTTCTGGGTCCATTTTTTTTCTTTTCACCCATACCCCGTTTGGGACATTCTCTTTCTTCTGAAAGGTCATTTCTTTCCTCACTAGTGATCCCTTTCACCTGCTAACTTTCCTTCTGCCCTGTCCCCTTCCAGGGCCCTCAGCTTGGTGTCACCTGGTAATGCTTCCCCTCAGGAATGTTACCAGACTTGAGTCCTGTCTCCCGCCTCCTTTGGACGTTTGTCCTTGTGATTACGGGTATGGGTTCCTGCCCAGGTCCTGTGGTCATCGAGGCATGGCAGTAATTGATTTCCCAGTATTTTCCTGTCCACGAAACCTGTTTCTTTTTGCCCTGTTGCTCATCACTTAAGAGGGTTAGAACTTTTCTCACGATACTGTGCCCTTCATGACCCGAGCTGGTGACTAACCTCCCTCTTAAGCAAGTTAGACTTCAAGTCCAATAAGTTTGTGAGTAATTTGCTTTTTATACTTTTTAAAAATAATAACTATCTCAACTCACCGTTCGCCGTCTTCTGGGCCCCTAGGTTCCGGACATCTCTTTTCCTACCTGTAGGAGAGTTTATCTTTCCATAGGTGCCGATTATTAAGTCTAGTCGGAGGAACTCTCAAAGTTCGTGTAACGCGATATTTTGCTACCTGTTGCCTTTCCTAACTAAATCCTCTTCTCTCTCTAGGGAGCTGCTTGCCTCTTACTGTAAAAGCTTTGAAAGATACTGAGCAGTCAAAAAGGGAGTTTCTGCTCAGCTGTTTGCCAGTAGTTAACTATATACTTAGTTTGCTCTTCCAGGTGGCTTTAGTAACCTCTCTGACCAACTAAGTGGCTGGTAACTCTCACCTCTTGT